TTATATTTGTGATTTGGTATGCAGATGGTGGGCCAATCTAATTCTGATAGTTGACAACTGATAGTTGTATTTTAGTGTTTTGTTGGAAGCCGCCCAGAGTGGCAGGGGAAACCCAGCCAGATGGGCGGGGCATAAATAATAAATTACTATTATTATTATTACGTTCTCAAACAAGGCAGGAATATCACATCCTGAGGCTAAGAACTAGCCTAGTAACTAAACTATCAATGACTACCGGCGTATTAGGCGACTGGGTGTATAAGACGACCCTCCAAATTGGCAGCTGCCAATTTGGGGGGTCGACTTATACGCCCAGTCTTATACACAGCAGCTTCGCTGGGCAGCAGCAGTGGGCGGCGGGCTCCAAGCCGACTTAGCATCATTGGGCAGCTTCACCGGGTGGCTTCCTCCCAGCACAGAGCCCGCTGCCCACTGCCGCTGACCAGCGAACCCATACCCGGCGTATAAGACCATCCCTGACATTTTAGAGGATTTTCCGGGATTAAAAAGTCGTCTTATATGCCAGAATCTATGGTAAGTCTCTTTCTCTCTCTCTGTGCCTCAGAGCCCTCTAGAGGCAGGTTTATGTATAGCTTCAGGACTTCCAAATGGCAGGCATTCTATAGACCAGGGCGGACCAACTTTCCATACAGAATAGGCTGCAAGAGGACTTTGACACGGAACCTGCGGGTCGCACACTGCCTTGGTGTGTGACAAAATTTGACGCCCACCTCTCGTCCTCGAGCTGCTGTCCCAAAGCCAGCTAAATAAGGCCTAAGCAGGGGGCACAAGGCTCTGGCAGGGTCCTAGAGCCCTGCTACTCCATTCTAAAGCTGAACAAGCAGTAACTAGGCTTTGAGAAAGGAGGACTCTAGGACCCTGTCAGAGCCCTTGCGCCTCCTTCCCAAAGCCCAGGGTCTCACTTCTCTGACTTTGGGAAGGCAGCTGGGGAGGGGGTTTTATCAAATGTGACCGAGGGCCATTTAAAAATGTTGCTCTTAGGCTGTGCATTGAGCCACCCTGCTATAGACACTTGGTTGGATAAAATATATTCCCCATAGTAAATTCCTAGCATTTGTAGCATTAGTAAGTAAAGGTAAAGGGAGCCCTGAACATTAGGTCTAGTCGCGGACGACTCTGGGGTTGTGGCGCTCATCTCGCTTTATTGGCCGAGGGAGCCGGCGTACAGCTTCCGGCTCATGTGTCCAGCATGACTAAGCCACTTCTGGCGAACTAGAGCAGCGTATGGAAACGCCGTTTACCTTCCCGCTGGAGCGGTACCTATTTATCTGCTTGCACTTTGTGCTTTCGAACTGCTAGGTTGGCAGGAGCAGGGACCAAGCAACGGGAACTCACCCCGTCGCGGGGATTCGAACCGCTGACAGCGCCACCCACGTCCCTTCTTGTAGCATTTGTAGAATGAAGTAAAATCCACAGGCACTACTCTTTGGAGGGTGAGAAACTAATGGGTCCCAACTCCTTCTCCAGATGATTTTTACTCAAAGCAGACCCATTGAAATGAATGAATCTAACTTAATAATGTCTATTAACTTCAACCAGTCTAGCATTAGACTAGCATTGGATATAACATGCAGTGCTTTAGTTTACCCCGGAAATTTAAGCAGACCCCCAGGCACAGTGGCATAGCGTTGGTTGCTAGTGCCCGGGCAAGGCAAGTATCTTCTGCCCTGTCCACCGATAAGCTGGAACGAAGGGGCAATAGCTCAGTGACCTACCTGAGTGGCAGACCTGGTGCCCTCTGAGTGTCAAGGATAGTGGAGAGTGGGACAGGGGATTGGGTGGAAGCAGGTATCTTTCTAAAACCCATGCAGAGGGTGCCTTAGCAACCGACCGTCGCCAAAATCCACTCCCGAGTCCACTTGCGCAAACATTGGGAGATTTTCTGTCTGAGGGGGAGAGAGCCCTGTTTTTTAATTTATTGTTACTACTTTTTCTTTTGATTTTTGGTCCCCGAAGAATTTTGCACCCAGGGCAACCGCCCTGGAGGCCCCACCCTTGCTACGCCACTGCCCATGCCTGAAGATCCAGAGTGTTGTAGTGGTTAGTCCTGGACTCAGCCATGAAGTTTCCTGAGTGTGACCTTGGGCCAGTCCCTGCCTCTTTTAGCCTGTGGGGAGAACCATGGGTACATGGGTGCAGAATGCTGCAGCAAGGCTCCTCACGGGGTCTCTGCCATGGGAGCATATTCACCCAGTGGTTTTCCAGCTGCACTGGCCTCCGATGGAGTACAGGGTCAGATTTAAGGTGCTGGTTTTGACTTTTAAAGCCCTTTATGGCCTAGGACCCTCGTACCTACGGGACCGCCTCTCCTGGTATGCCCCGCGGAGGACCTTAAGGTCCATAAATAGCAACACCCTAGAGGTCCCGGGCCCTAAGGAAGTTAGATTAGCCTCAACCAGAGCCAGGGCCTTTTCAGCACCGGCTCCTGCCTGGTGGAATGCTCCGTCTCATGAGACCAGGGCCCTGCAGGATCTCATTTCTTTCCGCAGGGCCGGCAAGACAGAGCTGTTCCGCCTGGCCTTTGGCTTGGAATCAACTTGATCCGCTCCCCCTCTTTCCTTTTCCCTTTCTCCTTCTGTGATGGAACTCCTATTTGGGTACTTCCCTGGTTTTTTTCTGGCCCATGTAGGACCAGTCTGGATAGTTAGCCTTGGTGAAGATTTGATGTTTTCATCCCCCCAAAAGTTTTTGAGTTTCCACTGAAATGAGGCTGCTTTTTAATGTTGTATTTTAATCTTGTTTTTAAGCTGTATTCTAATCAATTGTTTTTGTATTTGGTGTTAGCCGTCATGAGTCCGGTTTTGGCTGGGGAAGGCGGGGTATAAATAAAATTTATTATTATTATTATTATTATTATTATTATTATTATTATTATTACCATCTCCAGCTCCTTAGAGAGAAAGGTGGGGGGTATAAATGCAACAAGCAAACATAGGGTTCAACCATCTTGGGTGTCAGGGATTGGCTGGATGAGGAGGAGTGGTAGAAGTCACCTGACCCCTGGGAGCCCATTTCCCCTGGGAAAGCTAAGAGGGAGAGGACTGGAATGCTCGTTCCTGGTGGTGGAAAACCAGCCACACCCCAGAGGAGGGGACAAGCTGAGAAGTACTGGAGGCCAGGAGCTTGAAGGATGATGAAGAGGAGGAAACAGGTGCCCCAGGACAGGGCAGGGGCAGGAGTTAGACTTGGCAGTTCTCCCACAGACCCCCCATCTGACAGCTTCTCTGTTGACAGTATGCAAGTCCACCACTTCCCAGAATGAGGCGTCTATTGCATGTTGCTGAGCAGAGAGGATCCCTTGAAGCTCACCATAGACAGAGGGAGGAACCCAAAAAAGAGGGGTAGGGAGTGAAGGGAAATTATAAGCCATGGAGGGCAACTGCTTCATCTAGACAAGAGCAACCCCTAGCAGTCTCCATGTGTTAACTACCGTATTTTTTGCTCTGTAAGACTCACTTTTTCCCTCCTAAAAAGTAAGGGGAAATGTGTGTGCGTCTTATGGAGCGAATGCAGGCTGCGCAGCTATCACAGAAGCCAGAACAGTGAGATGGATAGCTGCTTTCACTGCGCAGTGATCCCTCTTGCTGTTCTGGCTTCTGAGATTCAGAACATTTTTTTTCTTGTTTTCCTCCTCCAAAAACTAGGTGCGTCTTCTGGTCTGGTGCGTCTTATAGAGTGAAAAATACGGTATATCTGCTGCCTTGAGCTCCTTTGAGGAAGACAAGAGGAGCTGGATATCAAATAAGTGCAGAAATAAATAAAATGTGTGGACAGGGTGGATTTGATTTAAATCGCAATTTAAATCACTAGCCATTAAGATTTGATTTTCCATATTTTCCCGTGTATAAGACTAGGGGTTTTTTAACCAAAAAATTAGGTTTAAAATTGGGGCTTGTCTTATACACGGGTAGTGCGTCTTATAGAGCGAAAAATACGGTAACTGTCAGCCACCCAAGTGTTTCACTCTCTTTCTCTGACCTATGAATGACCTGCTTTCCTTGTCAGCTCCCTGACCTTGGGCCAGTCACTGCCTCTCACCCGAACCTACCTCACAGGGCTGTTGTGAGGATGAAATGGAAGAGAGGAAGAACCAGGCATGCCACCTTGAACTCCTTGCAGAAAAGGTGGCGTGGCGTTTGCCCATCTAGGTGGGTGACATCATACTGGGTTCATAAGGAAAGGGTTAACTAATTGTAAAATGACTAACCAACGGGAACCCAGAGGGCAGAGTTAGGGTGGTTGAGAAGACAGTCAGAGGTTTGGAAGAGACAGAGAGGATAAGTCTGTGGGTTGGGCTAGTCTGGAGTGAGAGAAATTGTTAAGAAGAGTCAGTCAAACAGTTGAGATAACCAGTCAGAAGGTATTAGGAAGGTATAGGCCGGTAAAGATATTGACAGGGATATTATCTGAGAAACCATAAAATTGTTAATGTTTGTAAAATAAAGTTGGGGGGTTTTTTTGTTCACTTTTAACAACTGTCTGGACTCAGTGTTTTACCCAAGAGTAACGGGTTGGTGGCAGTGGGGAAGGGAGCACAGTGGTGGCACAGGGATCAATAGACCGTTAAACATCCGGGGACCCTGTGTGATCGCCACAGGTGGGTTATAAATGTAACAAATCAATAAAAATAAAAGCTCTTGACGTGACGAAGAATATCAGAACGCAACAACGTAAATGTCTTTATATTTGCTCTTTATTGCTGTCTATCTAACATGGAAGTTCTGGGAAGGCAATGTGGGAGGTGTGTGTTTCCCACCACCAAAGAATATTCATAGCCCCTCGCTCTTTCTCCAAGCCAGATGTGATATCTTGGGGAAGATCGTTACTTGTACATTGAGATTCAGGGCATCTAGAGGAGAGGAGAGCAGAGAACGTGGACCAAGGAAGACTTGAGGAAGGAGGTGTCATCCACTCTCAGAAGGAAGCTCTGCAAAAGCTGGACTGCGGGGATTCAAATCAGGATCTGACCTTGTGGCCGCTTAGCATTTCTTGACGTTGCATTGCCCCATGTTGATGGAAGGACAGGCCTTCACACAGGTTTGGTCAGAGCACACGGTGACGCAGGGGTTCCCGCACTTTGTGGCGCATGTCTTCACCCCACTACAGGGGTTGGCGCACTTAGTAGCACAGGGAGTGACGCTCACGTTGCCACAGGCATCCTGGCAGACGGTGGCACATGCGCCCCCAGTTGGGGCTGGGATGGGAGCCACGCAAACAGCCCCACATGGATCCTGGCACACAGAAGTGCACTGACCCTTGCTCGGGGCCACGCAGACGGAGCCGCCAGAGCTGGTGCACACCGTGGCGCATGAGCCGGAGCTTTGCTGCGGGGTCACACAGACGGAGCCGCAGGGACCCTGGCAGACGGTGGCGCACTGGGGCTGCTGCGGTGCCACACAGACGGAGCCACATGGGCCCTGGCAGACGGTTGAGCATTGACCCTGGCCTTGTGACACGCAGACGGACCCACCGGGGGTGGCACATATGGTTGGCCCCTGGTTCTGCAGGGGGGTCACGGAGATGGAGCCGCAAGGACCCTGGCAGACGGTGGCACACTGGGGCTGCTGTGGAGTGACACAGATGGAGCCTCCAGGAGTGGCACACACAGTGGCACATTTAGGAGTGCAGGCATCTGCGCACGATGACTGAGATGGGGTCACGCAGACAGCGCCTCCAGGAGTTGCACACACAGTGGCACTCTTAGTCTTCACGCATGAAGGAGGAGGAAGGCAGGGTTGCTTGCACTGGTAAGACATCTTGTTGGGGAGGTTTTAAGCTCTGGAAGAGAAATAAATCATATGAACAAAGGAGGAACCAGCTGAATCAGGCCAGTGGCTCACCTAGTCCAGCTTCCTGGTGTCACAGTGTCCAAATCCCACCAGCAACTGTAAAATCTAGGTAGACTGCCTCTGGAGCTGGAGGTTCCATAAGAGAATAGAAAGAACCTGGTGGATGTGGAGCCTGTGGCCCTCCAGAAGCTACTCAACGATAGCTCCCATCGTCCCTGAACATTGGCCGTGCCAAAGGGGGATGGTAGGGTTTAGACTCCAAGAACATTGGCTGGTGGAAGGTATAGTACAAGAACATTTTGAGGGCCACAGATCCCACATCCCTGATATAAAGGCTGCAAGTCAGATTATCCTCCACCAGGGCTAGGGCCTTCTCAGTGATGGCTCCGACCTGGTGGAATGCTCTGTCCCAGGAGACCAGGGCCCTGCAGGATTTAACCTCCTTCTGCAGGGCCTGTAAGACAGAGCTATTCCGCCTGGCTTTCAATTTGAACTTAGCCTGATCTTTTATTCCCCTTCCTTCCCTCTTCCTCCCCTTTTTATGAAGATTACCCGCTCTGGGATCCCACAGCTAATTCTCCCCTGGTCTCCTCGCTGGCCCAAATAGGACTAATTTAGCCAGCTAGCACTGGTGATCATCTAATATTTATTGGATGGATTTCCCCCCTAAATTGATTTTTGATTTTATTGTTATTTACGCTTTATACCGTATTTTATGCTGGTTTTTTTTTGTAGCATCAATTGTTTTGAATTTGTTGTTAGCCACCCTGAGCCCGGTTTTCTGAACCGGGAAGGGCGGATTATAAATAAAAAGTTATTATATTATTTATTATTAAGCTCTCTGATTCAATAGTTCCCCGCAGTTCTTCTCCAGTTCTCACTGAGCAGTGTTGAACTTGATCCTGCTGTGACATCACAGCTGCTTAGCCAATGACAGGGATCTTGACCCCTTTGTTTGTAAAGACACACAACGACACCGAAGAAGATGAGCCAATGGTTCCAGCCAGGAGCACAGAGTTTGGGAAGAGTGTTGTGATAGTGGAGACATCAGAGGTTATTGCGGGGGAAGAAAATTACAGATCGTACAGATGGGCCCTTAGCTATGTAAATCATAAGCAGCAGCAGAGCAACTGTTAATTATAGTGTCTAGGGCTGAACAGCTGCTTCTAACAAGTTCTTATGAATGCTGAGTACATTGGCAGTTGTTCCTTGAAAGTTGCCCCATAGCTCTTAAAAGGTATGGGAGATGCCTTTCGACCGCAAGTGGGTGTCCATAGATGTTGTTCAACACAGTCTGGGTGTATCACAACCTCATTTTTAAATGGATGGGGGTTGGGGCCACTCTGATGCAAACAAACCAGTTTGCTCAAGGTGACCTTAAATAATGCCGGGTTGTCTCAAAGGAGATTATGGCACCTCCTCGGTCCCTTTGCAGAATAATAACAATGAGAGGCTCTAGTTAAGTGTTGGAGGAGACTCTTGAGAGTCCCGTGGACTGCAAGAAGATCAGACCTCTCTATTCTGAAGGAAATCAGCCCTGAGTGCTCACTGGGAGGACAGATCCTGAAGCTGAGGCTCCAAGACTTTGGCCACCTCATGAGAAGAGAAGACTCCCTGGAAAAGACCCTGATGCTGGGAAAGATGGAGGGCGCAAAAGGAGAAGGGGATGACAGAGGACGAGATGGGGAACAGTGTTCTCGAAGGTACCAGCATGAGTTTGACTAAACTGTGGGAGGCAGTGGAAGACACGAGGGCCTGGCATGTTCTGGTCCATGGGGTCATGAAGAGGCGAACACGACTAAACGACTAAACAACAACAAAGTTAAGTCACTGTAGCTCATATGAGACTTGAGATGGACCTCCACCTGTGGCCCTAAAAATATTGTTGGGCTGCAGCTCCCATCAGCCCCAGCCAAAATGGCCAATGACCATACATGATCGGAGGTGCAGCCTGGCAACATCTGCTCATATACTGCGATTCCACTGGAACACAGAAACCCTGCAGGATGTGACATCAGTCACGGACTTCCTCTTTCCTAGAATGCCATTTTCAGTTCCCCTGCCTTTATGGTTCCCATGTTGTGCTTGAAAGTGCATGGGCAAAGGGGACTGAAATGACAGAAGCCGTCATGGTGGCTGCATAAGATTGACAGTGGGCAAGGGAATGGGTCTTCAGGGCCCCTCCATCCTCCTTGCCCTTCTTTCACTCAGAGGAACATCAGAAGAACCTGGCTGCTGGATCAGACCAATGGCCCATCTAGTCTATAGCAATAATAATAAATTTTATTTATACCCCACCCTCCCCAGCCAAGTCCGGGCTCAGGGCAGCTAACACCAGATATAAAAACAATTGATTGAAATACAACTTAAAAAACAAGATTGAAATACAACATTAAAACATTAAAAAGCAGCCTCATTTCAGTGGAAACTCAAATCAAAACTTTTTTGGGGATGAAAACGTCAAGTCTTCACCAAGGCTAGCTATCCAGACTGGTCCGACATGGGCCAGAAAAAAGCCAGGGAAGTCTCCAAATAGGAGTTCCATCACAGAAGGAGAAATGAAAAAGGAAAGAGGGGGAGGGGATCAAGTTGATTCCAAGCCGAAGGCCAGGCAGAACAACTCTGTCTTCCAGGCCCTGTGGAAAGAAATCAGATCCTGCAGGGCCCTGGTCTCATGAGACAGAGCGTTCCACCAAGTCGGGGCCAGTACTGAAAAGACCCTGGCTCTGGTTGAGGCTAATCTGACTTCCTTAGGGCCCGGGACCTCTAGGGTATTGATTGCTATTTATGGACCTTAAGGTCCATAAATAGTCTACCGTATCCTGTTCTCACTGTGGCCATACAGATGCCCCAAGCAGGACTTGAGTGCAAGAGCAACTCTCTCCCCCTGTTTGTGGTTCCCTGCAACTGGTGTCCAGCGACATCCTGTCTCTGACCGGAGGGAGAACGCAGCCCTTCCGTCTAGCAGATATTGTCAGCCTTACGCCTCTGTGAATTTGCCTAATCCTGCAAGACGAATCATCAGCAGATACAGAGTACATTATGCAAATGAGGAAAATTTTATGAATGCGTGTTTAATTTGCATAATTTTAACAGGGCGTTCAGCTTCTGTTGTCCCAGAATTTTGAACGGCTGCAGCACAGCCTTGCAAAATTCCACAATTCATTGCTGATGGATATATATTCAGTGTGCGTGTTAGCACAAGCCTGGGATGCGTCTTGCGTGTGGAAGTGCCATTGCTCAGAGGTAGAGCGCCAGCTTCTCTTGCAGAAGGTACCATTTTCAGTCCCTGCACATCTCTAGGTAGGGCTGCTGGGAGGGATCCTTGCCTGAAATCTTGGAGTGTTGCTTCCAGTTGGTGTGGACAGTACTGAGCCTAATGGACCACCTGTCTGACTTGGCATAAGTCAGTTTCCGTGTTCCTTTGTAACCTGTAGCTTACTAGTGGAGCGCATGTTTTTTTTCATGCTGATGGTCCCCAATTCAATGGCACCTCCAATTGGAAAGATCAAACAGCTGATGACAATAAAGACTTCTCTCTCTCTCCAAGACCCCAGAGAGCCTCTGCTGGTCACAGTAGACCAGCGGTTCTCAACCTGTGGGTCCCCAGATGTTGTTGGACTACCACTCCCATCATCCCTGAGCTCTGGCCTTGCTAGCTAGGGGTGATGGGAGTTGTAGTTCAACAATATCTGGGAACCCACAGGCAGTAGACTATTCTGAACTGCATGGACCAATAGTTGGGCTTGGTAGTACAGCTTCCTGTTTTGCCTTTGCTATCAACATAGGAGCATCAGAAACTGCACTAGATCCACTGATCCTATCATCTACACTGATGGGCAAGGGATCTCCAGGATTTCAAGCAGGGGGTCTCTCCTAGTCTTACTTGGAGATGCTGAGGATCGGATCTGGGACCTTAAGCGTGTAATTCATAGAATCATAGAAGTGTAGAGTTGGGGTCCCATCTAGTCCAACCCCCTGCAATACAGGAATCTCAGCTCAAGCATCCATGACAGATGGCCACCCAACCTCTGCTTCAAAACCTCCAAGCAAGGAGAAATCACAACATCCCGAGAGAGTCAGTTGCGAGAAAGTTTAGTTGGTATCTCGTTTCTCATAACTTGAAGCCATTGGCTCGTGTCCTCCTCTCCAGAACAGGAGAAAAGGAGCTCGCTCCATTCAGATGCTCTACCACTGAATTATGGTCACATGAAAAGTGTCTGCTGGATGTGGCCCAGAACCCTGTTTTCACAGTGGCCAAACAGATGCCCACGGCAACCAGAACATGAGTGTAACAGCCCTGAGGTTCTCAGCAACTGGTAATCATACACTCTCTGATAAAGCTCATTCGCTTTCAATGCACCTTTGAAACATCCTCATAGACAACCAGCATCTTTGGAAGAAGCTCTCCCTGACACTCCTCCTTTCTGTATGGGTTGGCCATATTGCAATATGGTGGATAGGGACAGTGTCTTCCACTGGAAACAGTTTAAGTTGCGGGGTGCTGGCCAGGCCGTGTGACACACATAGCTTTGCTCTCTCCCACACTGCGTCGCTGCTTGTTCACTGTTCTATCTAAGCTTCTGCCATGACCTCATCGCAACAGTTGCCCAAGGCATCTGCCCCACTCTGCCTTATGGTAGAGATGGCCGCAGACAGCTAACGGACAGTTTTGTATGGTGGATTCATTCAGATGAAACGCTATCTGCAGTCTGGAGTGGTATAAAGGCATCCTGGCCTCCGCTTGGTGAACTTCAACAAGAGGAGAAGCCACCAGCCGTATTTCTGAACCCGTTGGGTTTGAACACTAAGATTTGTCGATGGTGGGTTGTTGTTTTCTGTATTAATTTTTTTTAATTGAGCTTCGAGCAGTTGGAAGTAAAGGTAAAGGTACCCCTAACCATTAGGTCCAGTCACGGTCGACTCTGAGGTTGCGGTGCTCATCTCGCTCTATAGGCCGAGGGAGC